AAAAAAAAAAAAAAAAAAAAAAGTGGAAAGCTCTCTCTTATGGGGAGTGGAGGGGAACAAATATGAGAACTCCTGGAACTCTGAGAAGACATCCATAGATCCAATTTAGGAAACTCTACACTGTTTTGCTTTGGGTGATCATTCCATACCGATGTAACTGTAAACCCAAATGTAAATTTAGGCATCAAAACAAAATGTGGCAATATTACCAAGTGGCCATTTAAAAAAAGTAATCACAGGTCTGGGCGCAGTAGCTCACACCTGTAATCCCAGCACTTTGGGAGGCTGAGGCGGATTGCCTGAGCTCAGGAGTTCAAGACCATCCTGGGCAACACGGTGAAACCTCGTCTCTACTAAAATACAAAAATTTAGCTGGGCATGGTGGCATGCACCTATAGTCCCAGCTACTAGGGAGGCTAAGGCAGGAGAATTGCTTGAACCCAGATGGCAGAGGTTGCAGTGAGCCGAGATCATGCCACTGCACTCCAGCCTGGGTAACAGAGCAAGATTCCATCTTACAAAAAAAAAAAAAGTAATCACAGGCCAGGTGCAGTGGCTCATGTCTGTAATACCAGCACTTTGGGAGGCCGAGGTGGACGAATCAACTGAGGTCAGGATTTTGACACCAGCCTGGCCAACATGGTGAAACTCCATCTCTACTAAAAGTATAAAATTAGCCAGGTGTGGTGGCAGGCACCTGTAATCCCGGCTACTTGGGAGGCTGAGGCAGGAGAATCACTTGAGCCTGAAAGGCAGAGGTTGCAGTAAGCTGAGATTAGGCCACTGCGCTCCAACGTGGGTGACAAAGTAAGATTCCGTATCAAAAAAAAAAAATAAAAAAAAAAAAAAAAAAAAAAAAAAAAAAGGGTATCGCATATACACAATATCTTTTTATTTTTAATTTTTATTTTTTTGAGACAGAGTCCCACTTTGCTGCCCAGGCTGGAGTGCAGTGGCAGAATCTCAGCTTATTGCAACCTCCACCTCCCAGGTTCAAATGATTCCCATGTCTCAGCCTCCCAAGTAGTTGAGATCGCAAGCACCCACCACTAGGCCCAGCTAATTTTTTTGTTATTTTCAGTAGAGACAGGGTTTCACTACATTGGCCAGGCTGGTCTCAAACTCCTGGCCTCAAGTGATCTGCCCATCTCAGCCTGCCAAAGTGCTCAGATTACAGGCACGAGCCATCACGCCTGACCAAAATTTTATGTTAATTTTAACAACATATCGTGGGGTCAAGCACAGTACCTGGTACTCAGCCTCAGCCTCTCGAATAGCTGGGATTACAGGTGTGCACCACGACACCCAGCTAATTTTTCTATTTTTAGTAAAGACAGAGTTTCTTCATGTTGGCCAGGCTGGTCTCAAACTCCTGACCTCAGGTGATCCACCCACCTCGGCCTCCCAAAGTGCTGGGATTACGGGTGTGAGCCACCGCGCCTGGCCTGGCTTTATTATCATTATTATCATCTCTGACCTCCTCTTCCCTGAAGCTGCAAATAGGGCCATTGCGTTGAACAGCAGTCTTGGGCCCCAGAGAGTTGAGTGTGGTGACAGCTCTCAGACTGAGTGGGCATCTTTGACTGCCTTCCAAAGTCAAAAAATAAATGACTGGGGGTTATCTGCTGCTTTGGATCATAATTACTTATGCTTATGCCACTGATATCAAAACAGAGTTGACTATATTTAGCTCTGTGTTTTATTTGTGTTTTCTTTCTCTGAGTCAGATGGGAACTGTTTCTGCCAGCCCTGCCATTCTTCTCATGTTAAGACCTCTCCCATAAGGCAAAGCTCATTTCCCTTTTTGGCCATGGAGCACACTGGTGGTAAGAATTAGTGCTCTCACCACCCACCACACCCAACCTGAATAGGAAATTTCCAAGAATGAGAATCCCGTCTTTGGGCACTCTTCTCGGGATTCAGGTGAGATTACTCAATCACAAGAGTGAGACTCGGGGACTGAAACATTCAATCAGGGCTAAAAACAGATTAAAATGGGCAGTTGCCTTTTTCCCTTGACATAGAATACACATTGGAGTCACAGCTACCTTCTAGTAACTGATTTCCTTGAGTGAATAGTGTATCAGAAAATGGGACTTTTATGGTGGCAAAGAATTCAGAGGGCCTAGGACAGACAGATCCAGATTGGTATACAGATCTGCCACTTAACCAGCTATGTGATTGTGCAATTTACCAACCTCTCAGGGCCACATTTTTTCATCTGTCAAAAAAGGTGAATATGGCCAGGCGCAGAGGCTCACCCTTGTAACCCCAGCACTTTGGGAGGCTGAGGGGGGCAGATGACGAGGTCAGGAGTTCGAGACCAGCCTGACCAACATGGTGAAATCCTGTCTCTACTACAAA